TATAGTAACATTCTCAAACGTTACGATATACCGATATCGTGTCGGTATCTTTATACCCACTGTGTCAGGGGTGCAGATATTTGTTTGGACAAACATTGACGAGGTATAACGACTCATCAGATGTCAGGGCACAGGGCATTGAAATCACTGGATTTATACAACGGTCAGCTTCTCGAGTCCAGATGAGAAAGACTAAACTGTCGGGATAAATATTACATGTCAACACAATGTGTAGATGATATTACATGCAATGTACTATATTTCTCTCCAAGCATCTGCTAAAAAGCTGCAAATATTATGGGGAACACATCCATGTTCAGAAAATGTCAATTAACAATGAATACTTATCTAAACTGACGTCAAAAAGAAACTTTACCAACTGAAAATATAAATTTCAGACGAAGTATAAAATGTTTTTCGATGAAGTCTATCTAAAATACATAACCTAAATACAACAATAGTGTATGCAGAAAACGTTAATCGTCTGTTACATGTTTGCGAGATAACACCGAAAAAGTGAAAAACACGTGCACCACGGACAACTGCAAATGCACGTGCGGCTAAGGGTATAAAACGATTGCAACGGCAAGTCAGACATCCACAGTGATAAAAAAAACACAAAAGAAATGCCACGACTCACAGTCGAACAACGTGAACGAGCCTTGGGTGTGGCACAGATGGGAGCCACCCTGTCCCATATTGCACGAACCTTAGGTTGCTCCCGTGTTGCCGTTACCAACTTGATGCAACGTTACAGACAGACAGGGCGGACCGCTGACAGGCCAAGAACAGGCAGACCCAGGGTGACCACGCCCCATGATGACCGGTACTTGCGTACCTTGCACCTCCGAAATCGCTTCCTGACAGTGACGTCATCGGCGACAAATGCCTTAGGTCACAGGGTTAGTCGACAGACAGTGGCCAGGAGACTCAGGGCTCATGGAATCAGGGCTTTTAGACCATACAGAGGACAGCTATTGGCAGCGCAACATCGTCGTCTGCGATTGAGATGGGCCCGGACAGTACGACGTTGGCAACGACGTGACTGGCAGAGGGTTGTCTTCACTGACGAAAGTCGATTCTGTACGTTTAGGGCTGATGGAAGACAACGTGTTTACCGCCGAAGGGGTGAGCAAACGGCGGCGTGTTGCGTGCAGGAGGTCGTACCATATGGTGGAGGGAGTGTCATGGTGTGGGGTGGGATCTGTGGACAGGAGAGGACACCGCTGGTCATCGTTGACGGAAACTTGACAGCTCAGCGTAACATGGATAACATTCTTCGTCCAGTTGTCCTACCATTTCTCCAACAGCAGCCACGTGGTGTCATTTATCAGCATGACAACGCTAGAGCCCATACAGCCAGAATTGTCACTAACTTCCTCGCAGCCAACAACGTCAACGCCCTGCCGTGGAACACCCATAGAACACCTCTGGGACTTGATGGATCGTCGTGTTCGACAACGACCACACTCTCCAGCCAACCGGCAAGAACTGATCTTGGCCCTCCAAGAAGAATGGCGTCAAATCCCACGTGACCTCATCAGACGACTGACTTTTTCTGTGCGTCGAAGAGTTTTTGCATTTATTGAGGCATTTGGTGGTCACACACGCTACTAATGACTTGTTATTGAACGTGAGCGATTGTTTATGTACTCTGCCTATTGTCCATGATTCTGAAAGCTCGAGTTTTGTACTACACCCAAGTTTGGGGGGCTCTGACGTCATTCTCGGTCGCAGTATGATTTTCATTTTCAGTGTTGATTATGTTGATATATTGATCTTCTCAATACACTTTACTTCATGCATGTATGTTTTGTTGTTTTTGAGCAAGGGTGATTTCAAACTCTGGTAAAGTTTCTTTTGGACGTCAGTTTATTAACTCAATATTCCAACACAGTAAAATCATTACCAGACCACTCACCCCTCTGGGGTGGGAGGGGTGGTGGGGTGCGGGGGTGAGGGAGTAGTGTAGCCTAGTGATTTAAAGCATTCGCTCGTCATGCCGAAGGCCCGGGTTCGATTCCTCACAAGGGTGCACTATGTGAAGCTCATTTCTAGTGTCTCCTGCGGTGATATTGCTGGAAGATTGCTAAAAGCGGCGTAAAACCATACTCACTCACTTACACCTCGCGGAGTGCAAGCAGGCTTTAATCATCAATCTGAAATACCAGTGCTCGTCACAGACCTGTCACGTCTGAAATACCAGTGTTCGTCACAGACCTGTCACGTCTGAAATACCAGTGCTCGTCACAGACCTGTCACGTCTGAAATATAAGTGCTCGTCACAGACCTGTCACGACTGAAATACCAGTGCTCGTCACAGACCTGTCACGTCTGAAATACCAGTGCTCCTGTCACGTCTGAAAAACCAGTGCTCGTCACAGACCTGTCACGTCTGAAATACCAGTGCTCGTCACAGACCTGTCACGTCTGAAATACCAGTGCTCGTCACAGACCTGTCACGTCTGAAATACCAGTGCTCGTCACAGGCCTGTCACGTCAATTTCGGAGACATGTGTGGCAGCATAACGATACGTTCATTTCAATGACCAACAAGATCTTTGTACTCAATACAACGTTTTGTCTCTTTTGTTTCTGAAACAGTTTGGTTGATGAAGACAATTTCAGCTTTTTCTAAAGCCCCGTTAGCGATACAGGATCAGTGTAAAGATCTACCATCTTTATCACTGGAACTGTTTGCATGTTTGTGTAATCTGTGTATGATCTATACCTCTATGTTCTATAATGAACACCTCTGACCCTATGGGACTCTAACCGAGACGGCGTGAGAGACGTAATGAGGCAGCAATGTCTCCACTATCGATGTATTTACACTACTGAATTTGTCAGATGGATTGCTCAGGGCAATGAGCAAGTAAATATACTTGCAGCGGAAATTTCCACCCGATTTTCGTTTTGTCAACAAATGTTATATTTTAGGTATAAAGCGTGTTAGTTTTAGATTATCCCATTGTTCTCAAATCAATAGGTAATTATAGGAATCTGTTTATACCATATGTGGAATCTTTTAGATGTTTCCTACACCCTTTAATCGTCGTCGTTATTTTGTTACCTAGACTATTGAGGCATGTATATAGTTTCCCGCTTCAAAGTTTGTGAAGGGTTCTTTCTGAGGGATACTTTGAGATTACAGGTAACTGTAAAAAGGCATCGTGTAACATAGGCATGGAGAAGCTACATACAGATTACATGTAACTGGAAAAAGGCATCGTGTAACATAGGCATGGAGAAGCTACATACAGATTACAGGTAACTGTAAAAAGGCATCGTGTAACATAGGCATGGAGAAGCTACATACAGATTACAGGTAACTGTAGAAATGCATCGTGTAACATAGGCATGCAGAAGCTACATACAGATTACAGGTAACTGTAAAAAGGTATCGTGTAACATAGGCATGGAGAAGCTACATACATATTACAGGTAACTGTAAAAAGGTATCGTGTAACATAGGCATTGAGAAGCTACTTACAGATTACATGTAACTGTAAAAATGCATCGTGTAACATAGGCATGCAGAAGCTACATACAGATTACATGTAACTGTAAAAAAACATCGTGTAACATAGGCATGGAGAAGCTACTTACAGATTACATGTAACTGTAAAAAGGCATCGTGTAACATAGGCATTGAGAAGCTACATACAGATTTCACTTTTTTGCAAGTGATTTCATATTGATTGTAATTAATACCGATCAGAATTTGTCAGCACTTTGGAGATAACCTGATTACCTACAAGTGTCAAGATAGAGTGAAATGGATTACAGTCCTTCATACAAAGCTTAAGCTTGACGCGGATTGCTTGCGTGATCGGTCCTTCACTAAATAACTCCTCTCACGGTTGACTCAAAGAGCCATATCTGCATATCAAATAATCTCCAGTACCCCTAGTAAAGTGGCGGCGCTGTGCCAGACCTACCCGGGATCCTAGCTATACATGACACACACCTGGGAGCACAGGTCTTCCAAACTAAAGTAAACCATGTACCGGAGGTTGTATAGGAAACGGCGTCCTTTTGGTATAAGGGTAAGTCACTTCTTCTTCAAGGAACGTACCCATGGTGTGTTTTATGATGCAAGTTGCCCTGTTCAGAACGTTATTAAGAATAAGGAACAGATTTGTGTTTATAATATTGGATTGTGACAATATTTACAGAACACCTACAGTTTGTATCCGGTTCTAACGGATAACAGGTTGGAGATATAATCAAGTTAACCCAAACAGTATAAATTGGATGTGTTTGTAAACATGGTTTGTTGTCGATTACAACTTCCACAGGTTAAATGAACGTACAGTGAACGATGCCTTAAAATTAGTCGCAGTTTGGTTGGTTTTAGAATTTTCACAACAATCCTACATTTGTAATCGAAACTATAATGTGAAATAACCCTTCGCTTTAATGTACACATTGCCGGGCTTCACTGCAGGGTAGGGACACTGACTTAGAGGCAGTGTATGTAAACATCCACTACTTCAGTCTACTGAAGCAGAAATAATTAGTTCAAGGACATTGGGGATTATAGCCGCTCATCATGAAATCGGTCCTTAACAATAGACAATGGAGACTAGCACCACACACGGGACAATAACGGGAAACTATGTCATGGTCGGCGTCATTCGTCAAACTCTGTCATGCGAGTCTCGTGTGCATCTAGAGGCTCTTTAGTTAGTTGAGGACTAAGCATGCAATATATTTGGATGTATTGTTCTCAGATTCCAGTGTCATGAAAGAGAACCTTGAGAGAGGCCATGTTATATGGCCATCCATATCGGGGTTGTAAGTCTTCCACTGGACATATTCTGCCTATACCCGTTGACATTAATTTCTTCTGAGGGCATTCAGGATGGTGACGCCTACGTTCATATACTAGTATACTCCGTGTACAAGTCTTTGTCAACACGCCCCTTAAAGCCCTATATAGCATATACCTCATAGTACTGAGTTGCATACTATACTTTAATAGTCATACATACACTTCAGTGTTTGCCTCTACGTTGATAATGCATGTCGTTCCCGAGACCGCCCATGATGGCTTGCCATGGCCCGTGGTTCCCGAGACCGCCCATGATGGCTTGCCATGGCCCGTGGTTCCCGAGACCGCCCATGATGGCTTGCCATGGCCCGTGGTTCCCGAGACCGCCCATGATGGCTTGCCGTGGCCCGTGGTTCCCGAGACCGCCCATGATGGCTTGCCATGGCCCGTGGTTCCCGAGACCGCCCATGATGGCTTGCCATGGCCCGTGGTTCCCGAGCCCGCCCATGATGGCTTGCCAGGGCCCGTGGTTCCCGAGACCGCCCATGATGGCTTGCCATGGCCCGTGGTTCCCGAGCCCGCCCATGATGGCTTGCCAGGGCCCGTGGTTCCCGAGACCGCCCATGATGGCTTGCCATGGCCCGTGGTTCCCGAAACCGCCCATGATGGCTTGCCATGGCCCGTGGTTCCCGAGACCGCCCATGATGGCTTGCCATGGCCCGTGGTTCCCGAGCCCGCCCATGATGGCTTGCCATGGCCCGTGGTTCCCGAGACCGCCCATGATGGCTTGCCATGGCCCGTGGTTCCCGAGCCCGCCCATGATGGCTTGCCATGGCCCGTGGTTCCCGAGACCGCCCATGATGGCTTGCCATGGCCCGTGGTTCCCGAAACCGCCCATGATGGCTTGCCATGGCCCGTGGTTCCCGAGACCGCCCATGATGGCTTGCCATGGCCCGTGGTTCCCGAGACCGCCCATGATGGCTTGCCATGGCCCGTGGTTCCCGGGCCAGCCCATGATGGCTTGCCATGGCCCGTGGTTCCCGAGACCGCCCATGATGGCTTGCCATGGCCCGTGGTTCCCGAGACCGCCCATGATGGCTTGCCATGGCCCGTGGTTCCCGAGACCGCCCATGATGGCTTGCCGTGGCCCGTGGTTCCCGAGACCGCCCATGATGGCTTGCCATGGCCCGTGGTTCCCGAGACCGCCCATGATGGCTTGCCATGGCCCGTGGTTCCCGAGACCGCCCATGATGGCTTGCCGTGGCCCGTGGTTCCCGAGACCGCCAATGATGGCTTGCCATGGCCCGTGGTTCCCGAGCCCGCCCATGATGGCTTACCATGGCCCGTGGTTCCCGAGACCGCCCATGATGGCTTACTATGGCCCGTGGTATACATAAATAGTATATCTGTCATATGTCAAATCATGACAATCTCCAGAAAACATAAGCCCTGGCGAAAACACATTATGGCATTATCCCTCTATTTAATGCCTGTTAAAGGTTTATTTACACAAGACGGCGTCTATTGTGAAGATTTGGCATTCGTCCATACACAACCCGCTTTAACCCGTATACATATACTCAAACATCCTATACATATTAAAGTCGTGTTTGATGTACTTAACCCGGGGCCTCGTGCATAGCTGTGGTACTCGCACTGACAAAGTTCGCAGACGGCATTTAAAGTTATTGTGGGTGTCGGTATACTGAGAACGTTTATAACTGAGCTTTATTACCAGCGCTTTGCCAGACGAAGTGCATGTGTCTGCTTGCGTTCTATTCACCTATGAAAGACGTGTGAACAAGTTATCACCTATTGCTCTGCAACTGTTGGGGACAATGTTGTGTTCTATGCATAACTGATTCCATTGATTCGGCTTCGTTTCATGATAAGTGCTCTACTCGTGTTTGACACTATTATACTGATGCGTGTGAAAAGGTAACAAAACAATAACGTTCTTTGTAAGAACTATATAGATGTATAGGACACACTGACCATAAACATGTACATATAGAGAGATAACAGAGGTTAATGTGTAAATATAGGTTTGAAGGTGTGAGTGAAAGTTGTTTTACTTATCAGTCGTCTATATCAGGCGTGTCCGAAGAATATAAAAATGTGTACGTTATTTGTTGACTTGGCACAGATCCAACAGCTGAGATATATGTAGTCTACAGTTTGCTTAGAGTTCACACGCTCACACTATGTGGTGTGTCCTTTGTGATGCTGGGGCGGTGGGGTAGCCAAGTGGCTAAAGTGTTCGCTCTTCACACCGAACTCTTCGATTCCCCACATCGGTTCAATGCGTAAAGCCCATGTCTGGTGTTCCCCGCCGTGATATTGCTGGAATATTGCAAAAAGCGGCGTACCACCCTTCTCACCCCACTTTGTGAAGTTTTCAAAATGCATGGTCGTCTCATACGGACTCAGATGATAGCAGAGTGTTAGAGCTTGTTTTATATGTCAGTTGGTTTTTTTTTGGTGAAATATATATTTTTTCAAATTAGAAAATAATTACTCCTTTAGAAGTGACACTTTGTAACGTCTACATTTTCCAAATATGTGCAAGTAATTTCTTTGATTTACAAACGTCGCATTCACTTCTCCCAAAGGATATGAATCGAACTCGGCTGTTCCAAATCTTATAACAAATACGATCTTATATTGTGAATGTGTATCCCTTGTTTGACAAACATCAAACACTAACACGGATGATTTACACAACACAGGGGATGCTACATGGGTGTCCACGTGGAGAACGGTACATGTGCAAGTGGTCGGGGGCTTTATCCTAATATAACCGAAATAATGTTTGGCGATGTGTTATATTGCTCGATTATGACAGTCAGTGTCGAATACCGAAGCATATTACTCCTTCCCATTTAGGATCGACGACATTCCGATTGGTTATACCTGAACAAGAAGAAGAAGAAGATGTTTTTATTAGAGTGTCACGATTTGTACAGCATAACAATGCTACACCTTGTGTTGCTATTTACCCGGCACCATGTTTCACATCACCATCAATACACCACGTGTTGCTATTTACCCGGCACCATGTTTCACATCACCATCAATACACCACGCGTTGCTATTTACCCGGCACCATGTTTCACATCACTATCAATACACCACGTGTTGCTATTTACCCGGCACCATGTTTCACATCACCATCAATACACCACGTGTTGCTATTTACCCGGCACCATGTTTTACATCACCATCAATACACCACGTGTTGCTATTTACCCGGCACCATGTTTTACATCACCATCAATACACCACGTGTTGCTATTTACCCGGCACCATGTTTCACATCACCATCAATACACCTTGTGTTGCTATTTACCCGGCACCATGTTTACATCACTATCAATACACCGTGTGTTGTTATTTACCCGGCACCATGTTTCACATCACCATCAATACACCACGTGTTGCTATTTACCCGGCACCATGTTTCACATCACCATCAATACACCGTGTGTTGTTATTTACCCGGCACCATGTTTCACATCACCATCAATACACCACGCGTTGCTATTTACCCGGCACCATGTTTCACATCACTATCAATACACCACGTGTTGCTATTGACCCGGCACCATGTTTCACATCACCATCAATACACCACGTGTTGCTATTTACCCGGCACCATGTTTCACATCACCATCAATACACCACGTGTTGTTATTTACCCGGCACCATGTTTCACATCACCATCAATACACCACGTGTTGCTATTTACCCGGCACCATGTTTTACATCACCATCAATACACCACGTGTTGCTATTTACCCGGCACCATGTTTTACATCACCATCAATACACCACGTGTTGCTATTTACCCGGCACCATGTTTCACATCACCATCAATACACCTTGTGTTGCTATTTACCCGGCACCATGTTTCACATCACCATCAATACATCGTGTGTTGTTATTTACCCGGCACCATGTTTCACATCACCATCAATACACCGTGTGTTGTTATTTACCCGGCACCATGTTTCACATCACCATCAATACACCACGTGTTGCTATTTACCCAGCACCATGTTTCACATCACCATCAATACACCGTGTGTTGTTATTTACCCGGCACCATGTTTCACATCACCATCAATACACCACGTGTTGCTATTTACCCGGCACCATGTTTTACATCACCATCAATACACCACGTGTTGCTATTTACCCGGCACCATGTTTTACATCACCATCAATACACCACGTGTTGCTATTTACCCGGCACCATGTTTCACATCACCATCAATACACCGTGTGTTGCTATTTACCCGGCACCATGTTTCACATCACTATCAATACACCGTGTGTTGGTATTTACCCGGCACCATGTTTCACATTACCATCAATACACCACGTGTTGTTATTTACCCGGCACCATGTTTCACATCACCATCAATACTCCGTGTGTTGTTATTTACCCGGCACCGTGTTTCACATCACCATCAATACACCACGTGTTGCTATTTACCCGGCACCATGTTTCACATCACCATCAATACACCACGTGTTGCTATTTACCCGGCACCATGTTTTACATCACCATCAATACACCACGTGTTGTTATTTACCCGGCACCATGTTTCACATCACCATCAATACACCACGTGTTGCTATTTACCCGGCACCATGTTTCACATCACCATCAATACACCACGTGTTGTTATTTACCCGGCACCATGTTTCACATCACCATCAATACACCACGTGTTGCTATTTACCGTCTGTAACCACAGATACACACCAACCCCATCACCCACACACCCCAACCCTATCAACACACACACGCCAACCTATCACACCCACAGATACACACCAACCCCATCACACACACACACCCCAACCCAATCAACACACACACGCCAACCCATCACACCCACAGATACACACCAACCCAATCACACCCACAGATACACACCAACCCCATCACACACACACCCCAACCCCATCAACACACACACGCCAACCCATCACACCCACAGATACACACCAACCCAATCACACCCACACACCCCAACCCCATCAACACACACACGCCAACCCATCACACCCACAGATACACACCAACCCAATCACACACACACACCCCAACCCCATCAACACACACACGCCAACCCATTACACCCACAGATACACACCAACCCCATCACACCCACAGATACACACCAACCCAATCACACACACACCCCAACCCCATCAACACACACACGCCAACCTATCACACCCACAGATACACACCAACCCCATCACACCCACAGATACACACCAACCCCATCACACACACACCCCAACCCCATCAACACACACACGCCAACCCATCACACCCACATATACACACCAACCCAATCACACACACACACCCCAACCCCATCAACACACACACGCCAACCCATCACACCCACAGATACACACCAACCCAATCACACCCACAGATACACACCAACCCCATCACACACACACCCCAACCCCATCAACACACACACGCCAACCTATCACACCCACAGATACACACCAACCCCATCACACACACACACCCCAACCCCATCAACACACACACACGCCAACCCATCACACCGACAGATACACACCAACCCAATCACACACACACACCCCAACCCCATCAACACACACACACGCCAACCCATCACACCCACAGATACACACCAACCCAATCACACACACACACCCCAACCCCATCAACACACACACACGCCAACCCATCACACCCACAGATACACACCAACCCAATCACACACACACACCCCAACCCCATCAACACACACACACGCCAACCCATCACACCCACAGATACACACCAACCCTATCACACACACAGATACACACCAACCCAATCACACACACACCCCAACCCCATCAACACACACACACGCCAACCCATCACACCCACAGATGCACACCAACCCAATCACACACACAGATACACACCAACCCAATCACACACACACCCCAACCCCATCAACACACACACGCCAACCCATCACACCCACAGATACACACCAACCCAATCACACACACAGATACACACCAACCCAATCACACACACACCCCAACCCCATCAACACACACACGCCAACCCATCACACCCACAGATACACACCAACCCAATCACACACACAGATACACACCAACCCCATCAACACACACACGCCAACCCCATCACACACACACCAACTGTAAATTTGGGCAGAGGTGGAAATAGGACAGTGACAGGTCTGGTGAATACGGAAGATGGTCAATAAGTTCACAGTCTTGCGCTGCAGCCTTGGTGACAACCGACTT